TGTGTGTGTGTGTGTGTGTGTGTGTGTGTGTGTGCGCGCGCGCGTGTGCACACGTAAGCACTAAAATGTCTGTGCTGAGCAGCGTGACCCAGTGAGAAATGCTTACTCCGCCGCTCTGTTCTGGGAGAGGCAGCACTGGCTCAACAGTGGAGGCTGTGGGTCCAGTGATAAAAGCAGCTGTAACAGCAACATTATCTCCAGGTCCATACACGACTCAACCAGCAACAGTGACACACCACTGTTTCATGTAATATTCCCTGAGCTCTGAATCCTCTTACAAATCACATGACACACTGTGACAGTGGAGGTTATTTTATATCTGTTGCATAAGAAACAGCAACATTTTCCTTTAAATAAAATACAATTTATTTTGAAACTATAGCCAGCTGCTATTACTGAGTAAACTGTGTCTATGGTCCATTAAAGCTGTTACACATGCTGGAACACAGGGAGAGATGTTTATGTGCAACTGCGTTTTCAACTTAAATAGAAGATATGAGACAAAATGCAGAAAGAAAATGACAGAAAACAGCCCGGCATTAAGAGATATGTGGAGCTATATCCAGATAAAGGGTTAGCTCCAGGTATTTTCTTTCACTTTCTTTATTATTGTCAGCTTTTTTCAACATTTGCAACAATTTCAGGGAATAATTCATGGGTCTTCACGAAGAAAATTACTGATATGAATGAATGTGTGTAATTTGGTGCAGATCCAAATTGAATAAATACGAATCTAGAATTTAGTGTGCGCACAATTTATGCCGTAATATTTAGGCTGTAATATAGGAAGGATTTACAACTCTGGACACTGTCACAATGATTTAATCTTTTATAAACAGGGTAAACATTAATTATATATTATAAAATAATCAGAAATTTGTGGTTGTGTGCTTGAATGGTTGGTGTAGTACCAATGTGTAGGAAATGCTGTGCAAAAACACCATGGTTAAACTGTTTATGAATAAAAATGTCAGTACAATAAAAATAACTGCAGCCTTTGTATACGCGAATCACTTCTTTAAGAGAAAACACGATGAAATGCTGCAAAGTGGACTCCGAACCTGACAGACCTGAATTCAGCACCTTGAGGGCCGAGACTCAAATTAAGCCACAAAGTCGTCACAGCAGTGTTTGACCTTCAGAGGCGGAAAAACAGGGCAGAACTTTAAATCATCTTTTTCCATTTGTCTTTGTCATCCAGGAGCCGAACTCTCCTGCAGGCACCCCTCCTCACTCCCCACATGGGAATGGTTTAGACCGGGCCCCTACCTTAAGGAAAGAGCTGCCGGGCTCCTCGAGCACAGGAGAGGCCCCCTCCACCCCAAATCCCCGCAGCCCCACCCCAGGCAAGGCCAAGGACCCTTCACAGGTAAGACAGATAGAGAGACAGCAGTGTAGAGATTTACTGCTCTTTGCTGATCTGCAATATTTGTTTGCTTTTCCTTCATTCTGACGTGTTTATTTTTCTTTCTCGATAAAATGGTGTTTTTTCCACTTCATACTTTTAGGTTGTCTATGTCCCATTCCTGTTACACATGATGCCATCACTTATATCCCTTAACTTTTGTTTGACCTCTCTACAGATGGATAAGTCCCAGTCTCCACTGTCTAAGTCTGGCACCCCGTCCCCATCCCACCGTGAGGCCCTTACCCCAGGAGCTCCTGGAGCTCCTGGTCCCAGCACCTCCTGCCTTCGTCTGGTCAGCAAAGCAGCCGCCAGTGCAGACCCTCTCGGTAAGACTGTTAACACCAGCAAGATTCAACACCCTCTCTCAGTTTGTGGTAATCTGTCTTGAAGTTTTTGCATAATCATTCTTACAAAAAGTGAGATTCACACCTGACTAACTTTGTGCTCTTGAGCAAGGCTCCTCACAGCTCTCTGCTCTTCTGTAACCAGCAATGAAAACCATTGTTATACTTAAAAGCTCCCTGGTTTGACACTTTGGGAATAAACAACTATAGTTCACAGACAGAAAGGTTATCCATTCTTCTCAGCCCCCCTGTGACTGTGCCTGTGTACTGTGTACTGCTCCCTCTCTTTCCTTCCATTCCTCAATCCCTCCTTCCTCTTTCCCTCCCTCCCTAGCTCTCCGCAGTCCCATGTCTGTGCCCCCCGGTTCATACCCAGCTCATTTTGGCGTGGTGTCCCACGCAGGACTGAACGGGGAGCTGGCCAGCCCAGGAGGTTTTGGCGGGGCTCTAACTCTCTCACCACAAATCAGTGCGGCAGCCAGTGCTTACTCCCGAAGCCCCATGGTGAGTAAAGGCCAAACTACTCTTCCCTGTCAAGGGTTTGATTTATCGTTCGGTATCAGGTCTAACCTTCTGACTGTCAAAGCATGGCCTCAGAGCTAGATGAATGTGTTCTGTGTTATCAGGTAGAGTTGTGCATTCATTTTACATCCGAACTTATCGTGTTTACATTCTCTGATTCACTTTGATGATGAGCGACAGTCAGAGAGAGAAGATTTGCCGTTAAATGTGAATCTGGATCAGAAAATGTTATCTTGTGTAGCACATGTTAGTGTCAGAACAGTCACACACTGCAGCACAGATCTTTCTCATATTCTCACTCCTGTGTTTTCAATCTACTTTGTTGTAAAATGATTTTGGTGCAACTTGCTTTTAGTTAGTTCTTTATCAAGCCATCTGGTAGTCCATTGATTATTGTCTGACAATAATCCCTCTGGGGGCAATGACCAGTATTTTGAGGCTTCTGGTGTAGACAGTGAATATCTACATCTTTCGTTCACCATTTACAGTCCAACTAATCTCTTTTACATGTGCTGAACGTTTCTCCACATAAAACATTAACAGCGATACATTTTGTAGGTGTGGGTCCAGACGTCACTTTGGCTAATCTCTATTAACAGCTAGCTTCATGCTCAATTCAATTGAATTTTATTTTATTTGTATAGCACCAGATCATAACAAACATTATCTCAAGGCACTTATGTCGATACCTTAAAATTATAGAGAAACCCATCAGTTCCCACAAAGAGAAAACACTTTGGTGACTGTGGAGAGAAAAAACTGTCTCATTATTTTGAAGAAACCTCCAGCAGAAGCAGACTCTATGTGGGCAGCCATCTGCCTCGACCGGCTGGAGCGAGCAGAATGCAGATACATTAAAAAAACTCAAGCTGATGCATTTCAGTCAATATGTCTCCACACCGACTGTGTACCTACTAAAATATTATTGGTCAAACTGTTATGGAAATCAGGTCCCTACAGATTATTTCGTACTCACATCCAGCATCTGTCTATAGAGATTATTGCCAAGCAACTAATTGTGTCCACTCTTTTGTTCCCACCAGGTGGCGTATGACTCTCGATCTCACCTTAGAGCACCAGGGCTGCCCTCCTCTCTGCCTGGCTCCTCTGGAGGAAAGCCGTGAGTTTTAACCTCACACACTTATAAACACATTTATTGTAGCATGTATACATGAATTGAGATTCACTATCGGGTAAACTGACAGTTCATTGACAGTTGAACAGTGGAGGAGTGGGTGAAGTGTTCGAGTCCACAAAACACTTTTGGTGTCAGGGGTAAACAATGTTGCAGCCACATCCAATACAATAGAAGTAAACAGGACCCCTTCTTCAGACGTAAAAAATCAAAAGAATAAAAACACAACTTGCCTCCATAGTGCTTGTCAGGTGTCATCCAAGTGTCTGCAAGCCCAACATTCATATTTGACTCAAAACGGCATCATCATCATCATACACCATGTTTTGAGCCTAAAAGTCAACTATCGGAAGTGGCAATGCTAGTGGATGTAGCAATGCGAACGCACACCCCGAGTGGACAGGAGTGTGTCCGTGAGAATGTGAACGTGCCTCCGAGGAGGATAATTGAGGACATTTAAGCTTAAAACACAGTGTAAATTTAAGATTGAAACATGTGATAATTGAGCATAATAATCAATCACTCATGGATGGGAATCCACATGAGTGTTTCGTGTTTTTATACAGGACTTTTCAATGGTCCTTATTTACTTAACGGCACCTGGATACCTAAGATACTGTCCAGACCTTGTTCTCCAACACAACATGCACATGTTCTCCGGCCTTTGCCAACTGAAGGTTATAGTTGTTATGGTTGTTTGTTGTGGAACAGCAAGTCACTTATGCGGTGCTAATTTGAAATCATAAACCAGCCTCGCCTTCCAACTGCTACAGTATCGATCAGCCATTAGCAATGCCACGCTGACTCTGCCCTGTAATGCAATCTGCCATTATGCATTCCTGCCCACGGCCACTGTGGGACAAGTTATTGCCAGAATTGTGGCAAATATTGTGGAGGCCATTGTGGTGGCATCATACTTCACAACTTGCAGTTTCTTGACTTATGTGTAGGTCTTCTACTTGCTCTCACACATTTATTGATTGATACCTTGTCCTACCTGTCTTCAGCCCATTTCTCTTGCACATCAATCTCCTTCCTAGTACCTATCCGTCCAAATTCAGGTTATTTTTAGCTCTATAGATCTGAAGTATTGATTTATTTTTTTATGTTCCCTTTCCATCTCTCTTCTCTCCAGCGCCTACTCGTTCCATGTGAGCGCAGACGGCCAGATGCAGCCGGTGCCCTTTCCCCCCGACGCCTTGCTGGGTCCGGGAATCCCTCGTCACGCACGTCAGATCCACACCCTGAACCACGGGGAGGTGGTGTGCGCCGTCACCATCAGCACCTCGACACGACACGTCTACACTGGAGGGAAGGGCTGCGTCAAGGTGTGGGACATCAGCCAGCCGGGCAGCAAGAGCCCCATGGCCCAGCTGGACTGTCTGGTGAGACCTGAGGGAGGATGAAAAACAGAGACATACTTGAGTGTTAAAAATAAAGATGGACACACTGATTCACATATGAGCCAGACAAACATGTTTGTACACTATATTCAGTGTCGTCTCTCCTCCTCAATTCTGATGACTGACATCATCAGAATATCCTCTTTCTTTTCCACAACGTCCTCAATTATATCATTATCTGTCCCATGAGGCCTCACACACTGTCTTTGTGCTTAATACACTTACAGCAGCCATAATCTAATTGGTTCTCTTATCTGGTCCAATCAGAACAGAGACAACTACATCCGCTCCTGTAAAATCCTCCCCGATGGGCGAACACTGATCGTCGGCGGGGAGGCCAGCACGCTGTCCATCTGGGATTTGGCCACACCAACCCCCCGCATCAAGGCGGAGCTAACGTCGTCCGCCCCCGCCTGCTACGCTCTGGCCATTTCCCCTGACAACAAAGTCTGCTTCTCCTGCTGCAGCGACGGCAACATCGTCGTCTGGGACCTTCACAACCAGACGCTGGTCAGGTAAGAGAGGAGAGAGAGTGAGAGAGGACAATGGAAGGAGGAAAAGAACATAAAAAATGTCGGTGTCTTACAAACACAAATAGATTGTTGTCAGGAGAGACCACAGAGGGGGAGAGGAGGCAGGCTGCAGGATGTGGAAGCACTTCAGCAGAAGAAAATAGAGGAATGTCAATAAAATATGGAAGAAGAAGTGAGGGAGGGGCAGTCTGGGGCCTCCTCAGGTAACTGAAGGGTCAGGTGAGAAGCGGGGAGGGGGTTAGCTAGCTATAGGGGATATGGATGGGATGAAACAGTCAGAGTTTGGCAGGGTAGGGCTAAAAGAAAGAAGGAGAACGGAAGGGAAGATTGTGGAAATGCAGAAGGCAGGAGAGAGTCAGATGTGGGTGGTGTGAGGGCAATAGGGGCCATGGGGAGGGAAGGATTAAAATACATTTGGTCTGACATCTCCGAGAGAAAAGAAGCAAAGAAACACCCAGGAAGTCTGTAGAGGGAGTGTGTACACAGGTGTGTGTATTCATCTCTGAACCTCCTGTGTGTGTGCGTGCGTGCATGTGTGTGTCCTCCCTGCAGGCAGTTCCAGGGCCACACAGACGGAGCGAGCTGCATCGACATCTCCAACGATGGCACCAAGCTGTGGACGGGGGGACTGGACAACACGGTGCGCTGCTGGGACCTCCGAGAGGG